GGCTTCCCAGCGCTGGTCTCCCGCCGCCAGCATGAAGGTCGAGTTTGCCCCCATCAACATCCCCCTAAAGAGGAGGTTGCAGACAGTCGCCGTGCTGCAGTGGATCTTCTCGTTCCTCCTGCTGGGTAACAGCCTTCCTCCTTCCTGCTCTTGCCCCAGACAGAAGAGGGAAAGAATCAGCTTTTTCCTTAACCAGCGTCACCTGTGGGCAGCGGTCTGTGTCACCCTGTGGTTCCACATGGGAGGAGAGGTGTCCGGGTGGTGAGCAGCTCCCTGGCTGTGTCCGGGTGGGCAAGAGCATCGCACTTCTGGGCTTGGGCCCTCTTTTCCCTGAAAGCTTTGGATGGCTTTTTGTCTTTTTTTTTTTTTTTTTTTTTGTCTATTTCTTTATATGGGTCCTTTTTCAAGTGTGATTTTAAAAAGTTAGTGACCACATCTTCTCCTTGAGATGTGCACTGGGTTTCTGACAACTAACGTTTTAATTGAATGTGAGCATAAAGGCTGGTACGTGACTAATGCTGTTTTCATTACTGATTTTGTAAAATAACTTTATATACTGTAGTTCAATAAAATTCAAATTTAACTAGGTGATAAAAATGAATAAGAATCGACAGTGAACTGGCTGAAATGAACCACTTCTGTAAATTTATGACAAGTGTTCTCACTTGCTTTAAGAAAGTATTCCTAATGATTTTCCTTGGTAAACTTTTTCCACTGCTTGTTCCGCTGTAGTGAATTTTCTTGATATCTTTAATAGACTCCTATTGCTAAACATCTGTTCACAGCAGCAAATCTTATTCTTTTGGGTAGTTATCTTGAACTTGATAAAACAAGTCACTTGATAAGGTAAGCTAAGCCTTAATTCTCTGGGACCAGAGACATGTATTGTGTAAATTGGCAAGCGGCTATTGAATAATCAGTGTGGAACAAAACTGTTCTGAGGTGTAGAGCAGCTGACTACCTGTGTGTTGCTGGGAATGTTGGAACGTTTTACGATCATCTGTGCTTTTAAGGACATATTCCTTTTTTCCTTGGATCTTCATTGTACGTCTTGCAGATATAGTATCATTCAAGTGGTAGTCTGATGTCTTTCAGAAGATGTTTTTAGGTTGTTAGCCCACACATAAAAAAGATTTGGGTATGTGGGAGAAGCACCTTCACAGAGTTATCCTCAGTGCTTGGCTGTTTTATGTTACCTCTAAATTATATGTGGTTGGACTATAAGCAGTTCATGTTTGTGGCTACGTTGTAAATAGCCTGGGCTTTTAATTTTCTGTTATTGAATTAGGTCTTGGTATATTCCATTATTCCAGCCTAGTGATAATGCAGTGGAAATTCAGTGGCAGCGGAAGGAAACTATTTTTATCCTAGCCTGGTTGGTAACAATGCTGCTGCAGAAAATCAAGTCCTTCTGTGCTTACTAGAAGTGATCGGGCTGCAGAAAATCTACTTATGCTGTAGTTCAGTGGGAGAAGTAGGCAGCTGTCATTCTACAGCTGGTGCTGCCTGAGAATAAATGTCAAGGGAAATCAACGAGGAGGTGGTCTTATGGCTGGATATGTTGAACATGATCACGAAAAAATCTGTTTGCAAGAGTGCTTGAATTTTGGTGGACAAATTGATTCTAATAGTAATAATCTGCTTGTGCTTTCAGGGGAATGTTTATCTTTAGAGCTATCCAAGGTGACCTTGTCATTTCGTAGGTGTACCCTTTCAGTCATAGGACAGTTGGAGTGACCTGGCCAAAAAGTTTCACTTAGCTCCAGGGAAATTCATATGGCTGAATCCTAAATGACTTAAAGAAATGAAAAATGGGTTGGTTTCTGATGTTCTGAATTGACATTATGTCTGGAGTTTTCAGACTTTTTTTTTTTTTTTTTTTCCTGCTCATCAGACAAAGTATGGAAACATTGTTTGTAAACTCTTGAATTCAAAAGTGAGTTTCAGATCATGCAGGGGATGCCCCAGTGCAGTTGAAATAACTGAATTCATCACAGGATGGGTTGGACGGGTAGGTGTTGTTTGGGGGTTGGTATATGGCTGGAACTAGTTTATACCAAGCAAGATCTGTAGATTCAGTCTTTCTTATGTAAAAATACCTGCGCGTGAAAACATGAACAGATAACATCATGTGATAACTAATGATTCATATCCTAAATACAGGGATTCTGTTAGAGCAGTGAATAAATAGGGTACTGGCTTAGTTCCCAAAGTTGTCCATCTAGGTGTGTGGTGAGGTGCCATAGCTTAGTAAAATAGACCGATAGGACTAACAGATAAAGTAAGAAAACTCTAAAAATTAGTGCCCTGAAAGACAAAAGCTGAATCAGGTAATTATATCCTGTAAATCTGGTAAGTGACATGTGAAAACATGAACATCCCCTTGGCTGTCAGGGGAACCTGAGTCTATTGCAGCTTAGAATCCATGGTATGACTTGGATAGAAGACTCTGAAAATCAAGCATTGCTTTTATCTTTCCGGCTGAAACCCTTAAGAGTAGCTGAATTTAATGTAAACAGCTCATTGTGCTGGTCTTTGCCCCCTGCTCTCTCGACTTGCTTTGTTGTGTTGCTGCCTGGTTTTCTGAGACCATGGAATTGATGATTGGAAATGCCGTCTTGCTTGTGTGTCTAAAGGGCACTCACAAGTGGGCCTGAAATCCATCTATGCAATCCTTACTGAAGACTAAAGAGCAAATCAGTCAATGAATACTGAACAAACAGCTGCAGTAGCACGGTACAAACAAGTTCTGCTTCTTTGCACAGCGTACTGGCTTGGGTTGGGTCTAAACTATAGATACATTGCTTCTTCTGTAGAGTGTCGGCAAAATAAACATGCCTCTGCCTCAAAAAAGCTGTACAGATGTGCACAGAATTTAATTACATACAAAAGGAACCTCTTTAAAATTCAGGGTGTAAGTTCCTGTGCTTCCCTGCTCTGTACTGCAAGCTGCCAAAGTTCACCCTCAAGCAGAAAAGACAAGTTTTAATTGTAGCAGTTGTTCTTCTGTTAGTTATTCAGGAGCATGAGACCAGAAGCAAAATAAGTTCTGAAATATTGTGATCTGTATGTAAGAGCTTCTGGAGCAGCCAAGAGAAATGCCTGTGTAGCAGTTTCCCACCATATGCCAGCTGAAACTGCCATATGCTTTTCTATCTTAGGTGCTCTAAGTGCAGCAGGCAAAAATAGTTTAGGTGAAGTTCCATGAAAAAAAAAACACCACTGTTTTAAGTGGGAGTCCTTCTT